TTTAAAAGGTAAACGTCCATGTCCTAACTATAGATTCCGCTGCGTTAGGATTTATTACGATAAAGTTCAATACTGTGCATGTTGTTTGACGTTCCTAACAGAACCCAACAATTGGGCCGTGCTTCTGGCATTGCAAACATTTCTGCACCATCGCTCTTGCATCTTCCCTCATCGTTGGCCAGAAATGTCCTGCCCTTAGAGCCTTTGCCACCAGGGAACCTGCCTTGTTGTGGTCACTGCAACATCCCTCGTGGATCTCCTTTAACACATATCGCCCTTCTTCTCCGATTACACATCGCAAGTGGGGGCCCGCGTGCGATCTTTTGTAGAGAATCCCTCCGTGCTCAAAAAATCTCCTTATTACTTTAACGGCTCCTTCCTTCAATTCTTTGATTATCAGTGCCCTCCAATCCTCGACCTCTTCTATCACGACCACCTCCTTCTCGACCACACTCTTCTCCATGTGTAGCAAGGTCACACTCCTGCTCTTGCAATCTACCAGACTTTGTGCCACTTTAGCTAACAGATCCACTCGACCATTTTCTCCTCGAGGTACCTGGATTAACTCGAAAGAATCAAACTCCCCTTGTAGTTTCTTTATCTCCTCCACATACATCACCATCCTTTCTTCCCGGACCTCAAACCCTTCTTGGAATTGACCCACCACCAATTGTGAATCCGAATGTATCTGCACTTTTCGAGCTCCGCCATTTAAGGCCAGTTTGAGTTCCTTAATGACCGCTTCGTATTCCGTTTCGTTATTTGATATCTGGTAGGCCACTTTGATTGCAAACTCGAGGCTGTCACCCTTTGGCCACATAAACACGATGCCTAGGCCACCCCTGGCCCTCGACACCGATCCATCTGCAAACACCTGCCACACCCCTTCAGACTCCTCACTCTCCTTCGTCCCTTTTTGTATAAAATCGGCCAGTGCCTGAGCCTTAATTGCCCTCCTCGGCTCATAGATAATAGTGTATTCACTCAGCTCGACTGCCCACTTGACCAATCGACCTGACCGTGACGACCACTGCCAAGGCCCCTTTTTTAATCTCCGAGTACCTCCTCTCCGCCCCCTGTGTAACACCCCGCTTATCAGAGTAAATTTTTCGCAACTTTTACTTCGAAACTATTTATAACTTTTTCGAAATCTTTTGCAACTAACTCGGGATGCTACTCAACTTATCTTCTTGAAAATCTGTTTCTCTTTAAACTATCATTTAATACTTCACTGAAACATAAAAACAGATTTCATTTAAACTTGCATTTAAAATACATAATCATAATTATCATAATTTTGAAAACAATAAATCTAATAATGCAAGTTCAATAATTAATGTGCGTAGCGGAAATACTTGAAACGTGGTTACATATACAAACTTTTATAAATGTCCATATTAAAGCTTATCTTCATCTGCATCCACGATCCACACCAACACAACTCCACTCACACCTCCTTGTTAACCTGTTACCTGAAACTAAAACTCATGGGGGTGAGTAACGAATATGGATAATCATAAACTAGTTTATGATCGGTAACTTAAACTTTCATTTCTCTGGCCGATGGTTAATCGGATACGTGTGCACACTCTGATGGATATTTCTCAGGCCCGTCTCGCCTCCATCAGAACTTAGGATATTATCTTTGAGACAATTTAATGCCTCCTTATCCCAAGCGTAATAAACATTAAACTTCG